AGAAGAAGAAGAAGAAGAAGAAGAAGAAGAAGAAGAAGAAGAAGAAAAGAACTTTAATTTGAACATTTAAAATTCATCCTGTTTTAACTTCTCCTGGTTCCCTGCCTAAACTTGTGCCTATCTACACTCGCCTTTACTTCTCCTTCACATCTCCCAAACATCAGTCAAGGACTCCCTTTTCTCTCTATAGCTAACAGTTATACACTTTGGGGGTCTTTTAGATAGACCTACTGAAGGGGTAACCCAGTTGTCACACTCTATGCTCCTATTCAACATGGAAGAAGCCAGAATGACTGATGTCAAAATTCTCTATTGACAATTAAGGTTACCTTTTTGGAAGGAGGAGTAATAAAAACAGGAGGTAGAAATTGGTCAGGCAGTTTAGGGTAAAGCCCCCCAAAGAAAATGACTAGTTTCTTTCTGGCTAAGAGCTGAAAATTCCCTTAGATCTAGGAGTAAATTTATCCCTACCTAAGGCTAAAAATGTCAAAAACTATCTAATCCAAAAATGTTTCTAGTTCCACTATAGCTAGAGGCTGGGGAGGCCAAGAAGGGGTTCTGGTTTTTTGCCATAACTCTCCTTTTTTCCAGAAATAATATCCTACTCCTAGAAAACACACTGAGGATGTGCCCAGAACCTGGATGGACCTGGACACTTTAAATGAGGATTGAACTGACCAGCTCATCTTCCCATCCCCTCCTTGTACTATACTTACTGTTGTCTCCAAATATTCTTACAGACTCTCCTGACAGAACAGCTCATGACTGCCCAAGCCACTACCTAAGACCAGATTAAGGCTATGCTCCCACTCTAAATAATTAAAAAAAAAAAAAAAAAAAAAAAAAAAATGCCCCCAACTCCTTTCTTTTTTATGTCTTAAGAGTCTGGAATGATAGAAACCAGAAGTTCCCTGAGACAAATGTCTTGCCCTAGCCCCAATGTTAATAGTTAGTCACACCCCTATCTCAGGTCTCATAGGATGCCACAGCTTCAGTCAGACAACCCACTCCTCTTGCCAGGATGTCTTGCTGCTCTAGCTCCACCTTTATCAAACTAGACACAATCAAGCTAAACAGCTTCTTTGTTCTGCAACTCCAGGAAAAAGGCCCAAGGCCACCCCGATCCAGATTTCACAGTTGTGTGTGCTTGCTTTATTTTCTAACCATATATAATTTAGTCCCACCCCCTCACACCTTTGCACAGCTTGCCTGTCCATGGAGAAGCTGTGTCACCTTCACTGAACAAATCTGTTCAGTCTGCTGAAGCGCTGGCTCTGGTCTTTTATCTAAACTTTATTCTTTCTCTGTCATTCTAAATCTAACACACAATTTCAACTACATGCTTCCCTTTGTCAGGCTGTCTTCACAACCAGGAAGGGGAGAAAAGCATTAGGAAATAAAAATTTTGGACTCTGAAATGATGACTGCAAAATGAAATCCATTTTAAGCAAATTTACATTTTTCTTCTTCCTCCAAGTCTGGCAATTTTGTCCCAGTATAACGGATTACCCGGAATTATTATCAAAACAAAAAGAAACATACACAAACAAAACAAAAACTGAAGGGGTGGGGGAACTACACAGGATGATGGGTTAGGAGCTAGGGATACAGCTTTGGTCTAACATGTGCCAGACCTGGGGTTCAAATGCAGTACTGAGAAACAAAGGGGGGAAAACGTGATCACAGGGAAAAAGGAAGGGCAGGGCACACGAAAGTTTAAGGGCAGATGTAAACAGCGAATGCTACCCATGTCGGATGGTCTGGACTCCGCATCTCCCACCCACCCACCCGGGCTGCATTGACTGCGGAGGCCCAGGTTCGCAGGGCGGATTCACCCCGAGAGGACCGGAGACCCGGATGATGCATTTTCATAGGACAAGATCAGATACCGGGCTCCCGACTTCCTGCTCTACACACAATTCAAGTACACTTGGGGATGATGGCACCAGAGCCAGACTCCACGTCGGACTCCGCTGCACAGCGAGAGCGGAATTCCGGGCGGCGGCGCCACGTCGCGTCAAAGCCGCCGCAGTGTCATGAACCCGCCACCCACGACTCCACATGCCACCGCACGCTCACCATTTCCTGCTTCTGATGCATCCAGGTGTCAGGATAGATAACAGTCACACAGGAACAGACGCCACATTTATCCCAAGAAGGACACAGGAGTTAAAAACAGGCGCCAGGGGCGGCATCCTCCGACTATCCGTGCTGTTCATTGGACACTTCGTGCAGAAAAGTAACAGCGGCCCTGATTGGTGAGGGACACCACTCCCGCCTCCTAAGAAATGAATGACAGGCCAAACATCCTTTCCCTGGCTGCTTGCAGCTAAAATGGCAGATTCCAGCTACTGCGTATTCTAACCCAGGAATAAGCCTGGACCAACCTGAGGTATCATTCTATTTAAGGAGAACATGCTCCGGTCTTTATAGTGTACCCGTTGGCTTCCTTATGTACTTACTGAGGCTCTCCTACTTTTTCCCGCAGATAAATTGTACTACAGGTTTGCTCTGGAGATTCCAGATGCAATACCCCAAGGAGAAAACCAACCGAAATCTGAGTAGGAGGAGCCCTGGGTCAGTGCAGGCACAGGAACAAAATGTATAACCGGATATGCAAAATCAAAATCTGGGATGAAGCAAATGCTAAGGCTTTCTCACAAATTATGTTTCAATCTATCCATTTTTGGCTAAGAAAATTAAAACACAACCAAAGTGAGACAATTATTTAATACACCAGCGAAATCTAATTACATGGCAGCAATATTCTACAAAAAATTCAGGAAGTATAAATAGCAACCGGTGAACTTCGGGAAAAGAGGTTTTTTTGCCCAAAGTAGTAGGAAAATCTCCATTCACAAGTATAAAATACTACCAAACTTTTTCAAGATCACATTGACAGGAGCCCCATAGTGGATCATTCTCTAGTGATGAAAGAGATATGATGCCCTCTAGGAACTTACCACCGCCGCTGCCGCACTACCACGCCCGCCCCCCAGTAAAGAATGAAGAGACAGGAATGTTTATGAAACCAAAATTTATTAAAAGTAAGAAGATTCCTCATTAACGAGGAGTGGATCTAGGAACCAGGAGTCCATCTTTCTCTCTGGGGATCTTGGGCATTTATTTTGGGTAAGGGGGGGTCTTGAGTTGAAAGCCTCCTTATTGGCTTATAAACGATTCAAAGGTTGATTGACAAGTTGCTTCAGACATGGTGAGTCATGCCTTTCATGCCAGCACTCCACATTCAGAGGCACAGCAATCTCCCTGAGTTCCAGGCTAGCCAGAATTACATAGTGAGACCATGTCTCAAAAAATTAGGGGCTGGAGAGATGGCTAAGCTGTTAAGACCACTGGCTTCTCTTGCAGAGAGCCCAAGTTTGGTTTCCAGCACCTATATGGTAGCTAACAACCTTCTGTAACTCCAGTTCCAGGGGATCCAGCACCTTCTTCTGACCTCCACAGGCATTGCACAACACAGGTGCACATATATACATGCAGGCAATACATTCATACACATAAAATAAATAATAAAAAATAAAATATTTGAATAAATTAAATTAAAAATCAAAACCATACATACTGCCCTCAATATACTGTGTATGTCTAGAGCAAGCCAGAGAATTTGGCTTGTCCGGTACCAACCAACAGACTGAGTATATCTAAAGGAGGAATGCAAAAAGGCTCAGTTTTTAGGTCTCAGGGAACAACCAGGAAGTAGATGTAGATTTGGAAATGTGGTGGTGAGATTGCAGTTACCTAGGGCTCCTTTCCTTTGCTGTATCCCTACTGAAAGGACTATCTGAATCCTAATCTCCCTCATTACCATCTCTCAGTAGGTAAACTGCTGTTAAGGGGATTTGGCTGATGACTGATCTTTACTACTTCCAGCTAAAGGGGGTGATGTACTATGTATGGCACAGTCAGGGTTCCACCAGAGTCTATGAAGGAGCCCATGGCAGAAGAGTCCATATGACATTGAACTGGATGTAGGCCTCACTACCAGGTAATGGCACATTCCCTTGGTCCTCTCATGTTCTCTATATTTGGAATAGCATTCACAGCATATATAAAATAGAATTAGTAATAGTATAATAAAGGAGGTTAAGAGAAGAGTCTATCCCATTTCAGGTAAGCTCAGAGATGATAGAAACATGCAAGATGGCCAGCTGAAGAATCTCCTGCATGTATTATCATAGGTATCGACCAAATCCAGGACAGCTTTTCCTCTTTTCTCAGTACTTTATGGAGGGTCCCATTAGCTTCCTCTAAATTTTGAATTATTTCCTTATCTGCTAGGTTAAACTGAGTCTATCCATTGTGCCTCCATAATCCTGAGGTGGTGTGCTGGATCCAGCATTAATTTTAAAGAGGAAGTCTTCTCTTTAGGTTAACATAGTGTTATCTGTCAACCCTAAGTGGAGTTCTTGTATTATTTTGGGAGCGCACCAGATTCCAGCTTAGGGAAGCACATATTCAAATGGTTTGCAAGAAAAGTCAGACAAAGTTATAGTTTCATTGGAGGTGCCTTCCTGGCAGAAGATTCCCTTCCCCATGAAACAAGCATTGTGCTTAGTGGGGGTGGACACCAAAATCCATATCTGACAGAAGTCTGGATTCCACTGTCCTCGTGGGCATAGGCAATTGTCATATTCTTGGTGACAATCAGAGAGATGTAAAATCCCAGTGGCACTCATTTTGAAGGCTTGTCCATCTATAACCCATGGACATGACACAGGTGTCTTGTCCATGATGCAGGTTCCCTATCCCTGTGAGGTATACTACAGGGTACTTGACAGATTCATTTAACAATGGAACATGGGCTGTCAGTATGCAATACTAAGATGGCATTTATTATCTATCATTTTCCATAGTTCCAGCTACTTATAAAGTCTCAGATGTGTTTGGCCTATGCCTCAGCATGGACAAAGGTGGGCCATTGTTTCATGGCCAGTTCAGTTTCCATTTGAATCAATATAGTTAATAACCCCTGTTTGATCAGTGTAACAGGCCTGTTCCCACGTTTGGGTCTGGAAATAATTGCATAAGCCCTGCTTGGTATGAGTTTATCCACTCCTTTAAACATGAATATTCTTTAGCAACATTTCCCATCCTCTGTCTTCCTCTTGAAACAACAGGCTCACAGAATGTACAATTTTAGAAAAAGAACAGATTTCTAGAAAGAGTCCTTCCTGTGTTGTGGCCCATTCTACCTGGCCCAACCCAGTGCCCAGTTTATTTGAGAGACCCCTCCTTAACTGAGCACTATGTCAGTTTTGGGATATTCACAAGAAATAATGATTCCTCTGAAGGGCTGTGGCCTCAATACAGTTAGGAAAATAAGCATGTACCCCAAATCTCAGAGTATCCCAATGTGGAGTTCAAATGGTAGGAGTAATTCCCAAGTAGGCTATGGTCTGGGTCTACTATAGGGTTCCCAGAACCACCCAGGTTTCAGAATCAGTCATGTTGGCATTACCTGGAAAATATGTTCACCAAGCCACACCCACTAATTGGAACCTTGAAGTCACAGAAGACTCTGTGATCCACCCAGAGCTTTAAGGAAGAAATTCAAAGGGAAGTAAGCCAAATAACAATAGATTTTGCATATTTTTCCCAGTCTCTTATGAGACTTATGAAAACTTTTGGTGGGATGGCCATGGCAACACCAAAGTCGATCTGTTGTTTTAGGAATATAATCCCTTGTTCTTGAGGGAACCCCAGGCTAGGGGTTGATAAACATACACACACATATAATAAAAAAGTAAATTAAAAAAAAGAATGTCCCCTTGGCCAGTATTCTACTGTTCCAGTTGATACATTTGATAGACGGACTTCAGGTTCTTCCACTAAAAAGGTTTAGGTAACCAAAGCTGATTGTCAGGGAATACCCACCATCAATGATGGTCTATCTGATGGTCCTTCTTAGAGACCACAGTCAGGTCCTTAAGGGAATATCAGGGTCTGTGGTGATAGCAGAGATTCTTTTCCAAGAACATGGCATTTAGTATCTAGGACTGCCTGCCTACTTGAATCATCTGCTCTTTTTCCACTGGTGACAGGAAATGACCCTTTGGCTGTCTTGAGCAAGGAATTACAGCTACTTGAAGGAGAGACAGGAGGACAACATGGAAGAGTTTAAGGATTCCCTGTGAAGACTTTACTGGGGAGTCCAGAAGAGTTTAAAAGACCCCTTTCCCTCCAGATAGCTACATGAGCATTTAAAATTAGGAAGGCATATTTAGAATCTGTATAGATTATTAACTTTCTTTTGTAGGGATACTTCAAAGACCTTAGTGAGAACAAGGAATTTAGTCAGCTGGGCACTAGAAATCTGTGTAGAGGCCCCAATGCAAGGGTGCCAAAATGTAGCCACAGCTTACCCAGCATATCTAATTCCACCCTTTACAAAAGCACTACCATCCACATACAGTAGTAAAGTAGAATTCTCCAGAGACTGGTCAGGATGTGCTGCATAGCTCTCCATTAGGACCTCTTCACAGGGCTAGAAGAGATATGTGTGGCAGGATTTAAAGTTTGACAGGCCTTAATTGACTTTTCAATATGAGGACTTTGTATTTGACTGACAGTCTCCTTCAGAATGCTTCCAATGTTATATGGTCTGTGAATGGCCAGAGGGCAGAGAAGGGTAAACTTTTGGACTTCAAGAAACAGAAGTCCCAGGGCTATAACTACTAGTTGACAGCTAGGTCTAAGCCTTTACTGAGGGTTTGAGCCAAAAAATGTGTGATCATACCCAAAACTAACCCTTTTCTCTCTGTCACATACAGATGTAATTGGAATTGAGTGGGCAGACCTAAAGTGGGAGCCTGGGTGAGGTCTCTCCTTAGCTTTTCAAAAGCATATTGAGATTCATGGGTCTATAGATTATTAGACTACCTCTAAGCTTGAGTTTGTGTGAAGGCCTGATAAAAGAGCCTTTCTAATTCAACATATCCAAGAATCAAAATTGTGAATATCCTATGACTCCCAGGAAGGCCCTTAGCTCTTTCAAGGTCTTAGTGATGGGCAATTTTAAGATAGGTTAGATCCTTTTAGATCCCAAGACCCTAGTGACCTTTGTTAAGATTGGAACCAAATTCTTTAGGCAGGGTATGTACCTTTAAGCCTAGCACCCCAGAGACAGAGACAGTAGATCTCTGTGAGTTCTTTCGTGGTCAGCCTGGTCAACATTGGGAGTTCCAGGCCAGCCAGGGCTGCATAGTGAGATCCTGTCTAAAGAGCAAATAAAATTTTAAAAATTCTCTGGGGCTGGACAGATGACTCAGTGATTGAAAGCACTGACTACTCTTTCAGAGGACATAGGTTCAGTTCCCAGAAACCATATGACAGCTCGACTGTTTTAACTCTAGTTCCAGAGGATCTGAGAACTCTTCTGGCCCATGGAGTTATTGGATGCAGATATTGCACTTACATCTACTCAGATAAAACACTCATAATATAAAATAAAAATAATCAAAAAAATTAAAATTGGAAACAAATAAGTGACCTTGTGTTTACGGAGTTG